GGATGTCCGTTGCTTCTTCGCAACCGGCGTCGCAGCTCATCCAGTCTCAGACCGATGATTCACAGTCACAGAATGCCATGAGGTCTACTACTTCGTCCCAGCCAATCCAACCTGCGCGCTTGACCGTGTTCCGTCAGGCTCTAGGCCCACTCATGGGCACACGGCTCTTCACTCACGGCGACACCGCCGATGTTGAGGAGCTCATTGGAGCAGTTAACACCGCTGTGCGGGAATCTCCCTCGCTCGGAGCAGGCCATGTCTTCCAGCGAGCAGAGGCAATTGAGGCACTGAAAGCCATGAACGAAAGAAACGAGTTGATGTAAGTCATCCGACAGGTATTTAGCATGATCGTCAAGCCTGACTAACATTCTTTTGCACACAGGTTCCTCGAAGACGATGAGACAGTTTACAGGATTTAGATCCAATGATTATTGCATACTAGTGGTAGAATAGTGTTTCGGGTAGGGTTGACGGGTTTTCAGTCCAATATATTGAATCGCGCCGGAGACTCAGTATGGCGTATCGGAGTTTTTTCTTCGACTTTTTTGCATGCAAGTGACACAATAGTCTGTCCTTTTTTGAAAATAAAGTCTTTCTATGCATAGCCCCTGGCATACCGTTCCATGCTCATTGGAATTGAGTTTGAGCAGATGTACATTGGAAGATCGTTCAGTCACTTTACAGCCCTATAGGCACGGTGGAGAACAAATCCATATATTGACGAGGATCTGAGAATCCGTTTGTAGATACATCGACACAAAAATCCATACAATGCATGCGATGGTTCTAATTAGGGTATATGATGAAAAGGAATGCTTCCAAACTACACCGAGGGACTAGCTTCGCGCGACTGTGTGCCCTCGCGACTCTCGCCCAGGAACGAATCGTCGGACGAGAGCGACGGCGTACTATAGATGCCCTCCCTGATCTGCGCTTGGGTCAAAGGCGACAGCCCGCGAGAAAGTGATTTCGTGCCCTTCTTTTTCCGTAGCTGCATGCTCTGTTCCGAAGCAGTGGAAGACGGGGTTGTGCTTCCCCGGCGAGGACGGCTGCTGGCGGAAGAGCGAGACGGCGGACGATCATCGATGTCCACTGGCGTCGTACTACGGGATGGGGTGCGGGAATGGGACTCTGAACGCGCGCCACGTCGCGTGGGGGATTTGAGGTCGTGGGCGTGTTTGGAGATGCTGGAGTGTTGATGGTGGTGATGACGATGTTTGTCTCCGTCGCTGGACTTGATGGTTGCGGCGACGAGTCGTCGGCGTTGTGAGGCCTTCCAGCCTAACCCGAGCCCGAGCCACCAGAACCAGCCACCTTCTTGTTGAGCGAGTTGGCGCTCCTTCTGGCGCAACTTCTCGCGCAGCTGAGCGCGTCGCTCGTTCTCCTTTTCCCAGAACTCGGTTCGGTAATCATCCCAGTTCTCGCGGAATTCGGGCGAGAAGGATTTGGGGAGAAGAAGAAGACGGATGTAATCACCTCCGGGGCTGAGATCTTCCTCCACGAGGCCCGATTCGCTGGCGACGTTGTTGTAATACTGCTGGTAGTGCTGCCGACCACCACGCTTGTCCGACGACGGGCGCTCGATGTAGTGGAAATTCCCGGTTGGAGCAGGGAAGAAAGGAGAGGTGAATGGGAAGAGAAAAGAAAGGTAGGACAGCAGTTCCTGCCACCAGGGGCCCCGGATGATGACGATCTTGGTGTTCATGGTGCGTAGGCCGCGGTTGGCGACGGCGAGCCAGCGCCGTGGCCATCGCACTCCCCGTTCCCACTGTCCTGTTCCCCAGACTAACAACGCAGTGACAATTCCTCCTAGAAGCGCGACCTTTTCCCCCATTTCGACCATCCAGTAAATGGAGCCGCCCACCCCGCTGCCATCTTCCCGCGGACGAAGGAAGAGCGCGTAAGCAAAGTAGGCAATCCAGGCAGCCAGCAGGAGCAGGAAAAAGGTATTCTGTCGTCGGCGTTCCCGCAGCGCCAGATACTGAGCTCGCAGCGAACTTTCGAGAATGAGAAGGTTCAGGTAGATTTGAGGAGGGGACGAGGGCAACGTCGAGAGCAGATCCGGGGTCGATGAACGGGGCGGGGAGGAGGGATCCGGGGCATCTTGAGAAAACGGCGGCTGAAGGGTGTTCAATTGACCAGAAGGTTTGGATAAGGACTCTGGAAGACTTCCAGGAGCTGGAGAACCCTTGACAAGCTGATCCAGGCTCCGGGTTTGTGCAGCCATGACGCTGTGGAGGGAGGGGAGAAGGATCAACAGGAGAAGATCCCTTTGCAAGTAGAAGAGGATATCGTAGACTTCTAGAGGGACTGCACGGCCTTTGCGGCCAGACGCGGTTTCATCGCATGAGATTTGGAAAACGAAGCCAGAGAAGTAAGTCGATAAGGTTGATAATAATAATGTTTCCGGCTCATCCAGCTCCAGTATCACTAGCTCCACGAAAAAGAGAAGAAGAAAATCAGCCGGATCATCGTCATCATCGTCTCCACTCAACGTCCCTCAGCGATCTACTGCAACAAATTCAACGTTTTTCCCCATTCAATCAATCTCATCTCATCGCATTTCCACGACTTATGATACCCTAAAAATAATTATAGCCTCGTTGAAACTCTAAACAGTCCTGGTTCCTCCAACTTCGTTATCATTCCGGCTGCCTGTTGAGCTTCGGGGATAAGCGGTCTTTGGCTTCGTTTCTGACCGCTGCAAAACGCCCACCTGGCCTTCTTATTTCCATTTGCTGACGGATTTATGACCTCTGCGCCCCTTTCCTATAAATATTCTTCTTGTCTCCTTTGTGCGAGTGACAGGGATACCGTCTCTGTCACTCTGGACTACATCGCGACAAGCTGTCCGCCGTGCGACTTCCTTCACTTTCTTCCCAGGTCTCCCGACCCTGGACGTCATTTGAACCGCCCCGTCTCCTTTCTTCGCCACATCCCGCAATTCACCTACGCTACACGTCCTCAATGACATCGGAATCACTCAATTCGTCTAAGGACGACCTTCATGATCGAGCCCACCATGGTCCGTATGTCTCTCAGCAAGAGAGCACGCCATATGCGGCCCGAGGGGCTAACGCAGCTGCAGTGCGCTCCTCGTGGTTTCCACTAGGCTACAGAGAAGGCTTCAATCAATGGGTAGGTTCCTGAAGTCGGGAGATGATAACCAAAGTTGTTGCACGAGTCACTGAGATCTGGTTCCAGTGGGCTAGTTTGCCAGCTGCGGCAGCAGAGCATAAAGTCCTCTCTTTCTTGCCCTATCTCCAGCATGAACCTCCTACGCATCTGCAGACCGGAAAGACCACCACTCAACGCGATGGTGTGGCTCAAAGTCTGCAGTCGGCCGATCTCAGCCAGCAAGGCGAAGTATCGGCCCATTCCACCGACGATCCGTACGGACCAAGACGATGGCGCTCCAGCATGGTTGAATTGAGCGGTAAGGACAGGGCTCTAAATGAGTTTTCCGTGGAGAGAGTTGGTGAGGAAGTGGACCAACATTTGGTCATGCTTCACGGATATGGTGCGGGGCTGGGCTTCTTCTACAAGAATTTCGAACCTCTAAGCCGGCTGAAGGGGTGGCAACTGCACGCGTTGGATATGTTGGGCATGGGCCGCAGCACCCGACCACCGTTCCGCATCAAGGCTAAGAACAGAGAGGATGCTATCAAGGAGGCGGAGGATTGGTTCGTTGATGCACTGGAGGAATGGCGCGTGAAGCGCAAGATCGAACGCTTCACGCTGCTTGGCCACAGCATGGGAGGATATATGGGAGTCGCTTATGCCCTGAAGTACCCAGGTCGTTTGAACAAGCTGATCCTTGCCTCTCCGGTGGGGATTCCCGAAGATCCTTATGCTGTCTCTGCGGATATGCCCGAACCATCCGAGTCCACCTTAGCCCAGGAGTTCACCCAGGACCAGCAAACTATCGCACAGACATCGTTGTCTGTCCCCCCGGAAGTAGCCCAGAAAGGCGACAACAACGTCCTGCTGAAAGGCTACGGTAACGCGGCGACAGCAGCACCGCCGGAAAGCCGACCGGCCCGCCGCAACATTCCCAAATGGTTTGCCTACCTGTGGGAAGCCAACATCTCTCCCTTCAGTCTGGTACGGTGGGCTGGCCCTCTCGGGCCTCGCATCGTATCTGGCTGGACCTCTCGGCGCTTCTCCCATTTACCCGCCAACGAAGCGAAAGCTCTACATGACTACTCCTATTCGATCTTTAGTCAACGCGGTAGTGGAGAGTATGCTCTTGCATATATCCTGGCTCCGGGAGCTTTCGCCCGTAGCCCTCTGATTCGGCGCATCCAGAACGTCGGACGGCAGATCATTCAGCCTTCCGCCCCCAGCGGGGAGCCTGCGAACGGCACGGATCCCTCTCCTTTGCAACCGCCTTCTGACCTGGCAACTCAGGCTTCTTCAACCCCAGCTAAGCGCGAGACCGGTATTCCCGTCGTTTTCATGTATGGGGACCACGACTGGATGGATGCGGCGGGAGGCTTTGCAGCCAAGGCCAAGATCGAAGAGGAGAAACGGCGGGTGCTCCAGAATGCTTCACCAGAAGAGCGTGAGGCGGATAATGGTTCAGCTAAGGTGATAATTATCAAGGGGTCGGGTCATCATATATACCTCGATGGATGGGAGGAATTCAACAAGGTGGTATTGGAGGAAATGGAAGAGGTGAGCCAAAGGGAAAGGGCTCGGAGTCGGACGTGACGCAAGAGATGCACTGTTTATGAGCGATATACCTTTTCCCTTACAGTAATTATTTCCTTGTTTGTAGATAAACTTTGCAATTCTGCGTCAAGATGGGGACTTACGGAGTGTATTATTAGAGTAAAGTTCATAGATATGGTGAAGTGGCCTCAGTCGCTAGAACCCATGAGTTGCAGATGCATAATCGTCACAATTCATTTTGGAAATCAAATCGCTAGATGCAAAACTACCAAGACGCTTTTGTTGAAATTTTAGAATCAATAACCAATCAGTCAAAAGGGCCGGTCTCAACTCAAAGAAGGACTGGGTAATTGCGATCCAAGATTGGCCCCCGATACACTTCGTCTACGATATCTCACGCCTGTAGGATAATGAGCCATGAATCTTCCCATATTACGGAGCGTTGTGCTGGATCGATCCTCGACTGGCGTGGTGGTGCCCGTTGAGACTGCACTCCCGCTGCTATTCGCTCCATTGCCCGGGCGAAAAGCAAAGTAACCCCCCGGGGCCTCAGATGAACTTGATAGGTGCATTTGAGAATGTGTCTGTGGCGCAGTGGCCATGGCACGGAAGAAATCAGAATATGTCGAAAGAGACGATGCGTCCTGAGACTGTGGCTGCGGAGAGAGACCTCGGGAGCGGGCCCCAGAGCCGGCAGGTAAATGGAACTCTGACCTGTTTGACCGAGATACTGACGGAGAAGTAGGAGCTCGGCGAGTTTGACTGGGGATCAGGGACGTGGTTGCTGATCGGTGGTGATGGCGCTGCCTGCGGCCATCGGGACTACGAGAGGCGGCCTGGCTGTGTCTCCAGGGCAGAATGTCTGCTGTTTCGGGGTGGTTCCGCAGAGGAAAGGGCTGTGAGGGGAGCTCTAGACGATCATTGATGGAGAGCCAGGCCCGCTCATCTGCCTCGTCGCTTAAGCTGTCCTTTGAGGAGGACGATGCGGATCTGGAAACATGGCCCTGCGACCTTGCGGATGGTGGGCAGCGCCAGCCGCCCACGCCTTCGAAGTCCCGGCCTTCGTCTCCGCTGAGGAGAGTCAGGAGAGCAGATGGAGGAGTAGTAACTCCGTTCCTGCGCAGCTCTTCCTTGCGGACGGGCCGGGCGTGGTCGCCGTCGGGGCGCCCGGTTGAAGAAATCGAACTATTTCGCCGTCGAGCCGGCGCCGGACGAGTGTGCCCCCGAGAAAAGGGCGCTATTTGGCGATGGTTGTTGGTGTGAGGCAATATCACTGTGACGCCATGATCAATGGATCGCCTCTTGGGCGTGGCAGAGGCGGCCGGGGTGGTCGGTTCAGAGGCAAAACTCAGCAAGGAAGACTTGCTTGATGTCGGAATCACAAAGTAGTTTGAGACTATAGCAAAGCATAGCTCAACGTAAAGGACCAAAAGTCGTAAAAACAGAGTCAGTATGGAGAGACAGATGGTGATATATGCCGAGAAGACCAGAGGTAACGAAACCAGTGCCAAAAAAGGTACTGTCAACAAGGTGGAGCACGAGGTTGACATGAAGACTTAACGCAGAGAAGGTTCAGTATGAGATTGGAAGATAGTGAATGACTTGGACGGGATAGAAGGGTATATCCATCATATCACCAGAATTCTGATCGGAGAAAGAAAGCCACAACATCATGAGAGTCTACGCAATGGAGCTTAAAAGTACTGTCAGGGTTGTTATCGGAGCTTCCCTTTGACAGCAACAAAGTGCGGAGTAAAAGCATGTGATGCTGATACATACATAGGTGGGTAATGTTGATGCCATTGATGCCCCAGGCACTAATTACTGTTTACGGTATCGGTACGGGTATTTCCAGCATCTTTCGGGTACCATTACATCACAGCATTCATCTGTCGCCCTAAAGGGCCTAAAACTGTCTCTATCATACTACCACGAGATCAACGCATATGGACGGGAGGAACATGCCTGAAAATGAGCGTGACAAGGTCCCCGATTTTCCTTGGGAGCTTGGTGTCTACGATGCCCATTGCCACCCCACGGACGCCATTTCGTCAATACCTGATATTCCAAGGATGAAAGCAACGACGCTCACAGTCATGGCCACTAGAGCGGAGGATCAGGGCCTCGTATTTCAGATAGCTAAAGACCTTAACAATGAAAAATTGACTGTTCAGGACGCCGAGATGGATCGTGTACTGCCATGCTTCGGATGGCATCCATGGTTTTCACACCAAATCATCGACGATCAGGAGTCATCATCAGAGGTAGCGCAGGGCGCCTCAGATCTTGAGAGCAAGAAGACACATTATCATAAAGTCTTAACACCAGCTCCAGAAGATGAAGACTTCATTTCTTCTCTACCTGATCCAAAACCCCTCTCGCAATTCATCTCCGAAACACGCGAACGGCTACTGTCTTTTCCAAATGCTCTGGTTGGCGAGGTCGGCCTTGATCGTGCTTTCAGACTTCCAAAGGCCTGGGCCCAGCAGGAGGCTGAGAATCGTAATGCACAAATAACACCCGGATCTCGTGAAGGCCGGAAACTCTCACCTTACAGGGTGCACATGGAACACCAAAAGGCTATTCTTAAGGCCCAGCTTCGCCTCGCCGGGGAACTTCGACGACCAGTCTCAGTACACAGTGTCCAAGCACATGGAGCGGTGTTCGATGTTTTCAAGGAGCTATGGTCCGGCCATGAGCGCAGAGTACCATCGCGACGGGAGAGACGAAGACGTCTTAGCGTTGAAGGAGCTCACGCAGAGAGCGACGCGGAAGACGAGCAAGTGCAAAAGTCACTAAAGCGCGAAGGTTCCCCACCTCTCCCATATCCACCCCGGATCTGTATGCATTCGTATTCAGGTCCTGTGGAGCAATTGAAGCAATTTCTGAACCTTTCAAATCCCTCAGACGTCTACTTTTCCTTTTCCAATGTGATCAATTTCAGCGGGCCGTCGTCTCAGAAAGTCATCGCAGTTATCAAAGCTTTGCCGGAGGACAGAGTGCTCATTGAGAGTGACCTTCATACTGCTGGACAGCAGATGGACGATTTGCTCGAGGAAGTTGCCCGGCAGATTTGTGAGCTCCGTGGCTGGCCTTTGCAGGAGGGGGTCCAACGACTGGCAGATAACTGGAAACGGTTTGTGTTTGGGTAGTTACGTTGTACATACTGCTTCGTGTTCGAGCCGATTCATATGCTCAACCTTTGTACATACATTTACAGCAATCATAGAGAGTACAAGGTCTGTTTAAGCCACAGTCTCTGTTCAAGAGATCGTATCTTTGGAAGAGAGATGATATCCTGCTTCAAGCTCAAGACAACGGGTGTGAACGTAAACCGTGAATCACTGGATTCGACCTTTCGAGTCTCCTGGCTTGAAGATTGTGAAGATCTGGACAGCTCCTAAGAGCAGACACAGACCGCAACTAATAGCAGCTTCGCCGACGGAAAACTGCTGGTTCCGACGATGGCCCTCTCTCGCTGTCTTCAGCCAACAAGACCTCTTTGCGCCCTCCAAAACGCACATTGAGCTCAACTGTCCAATGTCATTCTGATCTCGCACATTCCATTATCAAAATCCTCCGACTGCGCCTTCTCCGCACCTCCACGTGACACTCCCCAGACTCGGCTTTCCCCACTTTCATCCATTATCGGTCTTTATCGCTATTCCTGGGCAGTTGACTATCTCCCACTTCTACTCTTCTTTCTGATTGCCTGGATTATGTCGGGTTCCTGAATCGGTCTCCCAATTTCGGACCTCTCGCGGCTTCACATGATGAGGAAGAAAGTCTACGGTCCTTGAATCTGCCTCGATGCTTTTGCTATGTCATCCACAGCGCAGAATAGCCTTTCACCCACCGGCAATGGTGTGACCAAGCGCAAGTCAGGTAGACAATACCTCTGTTGACTACAATTGTTTCCATAATGTACTTGTCGATATCGATACTGATTTTCCTTTGGCTTAGGCTCCGCAGCCTGCGTCCACTGCCATCGGCGCAAAGTCCGGTGTGACGCACGTATCGTTGGCCTGCCCTGCTCCAACTGCCGCTCCTCAGGGAAAACAGACTGCCGCATCCATGAGAAGAAGAAGCGCCTTGCGGTACGCTCCATTCTGAATCCCGTTCCCATTCGTTGTCGGCCGCCGTCCACCTCCGAGCATGTCCCTGAAGCGTCTCCTCCATCTACCATCAGCGAACCAACCGCTTTCACAACTGCTTTTCGCGGAGTTCAGCCAGAAGCAGCAGCTCCTCCAGCGAGCGTCGTTCCGAATGTCCAGTCCAAGGCACAACATCTCCACAGCAATAGTTATAGTCACACGTCTCCACAAGCGCAGGAATGCCATCTTCCGCCCGCTTCGGACCGTTTCGCCGAACAGGATGCGCATGCCGATTTTGAGAAGCGACTGGTGAAGCTCATTGACGATGAAGAAGGTTCAGGTGCTCGGGAAATTCAGCGAGGCGTGCGAGCAATCTATGTTGGACACGAGCTGTCGAACATGTCCTTCTTGATACGTCAACAGCGCGATAAAGATGACGACGTATATCACTTTGCGGGCAGCGAGATACCACGGCGACAGTTGAAAACCGGACATGACCAGCTTCTCGTAGACGCCCTAACTCTACCGGAGCCGGCCCTCGTCGACGAGCTTGTCCAGGCATACTTCACCCACGTTAACCCGGGATATCCCATTGTTGAAGAGGATCAGTTCATGAGTCAGTATCGCAATAGAGACCCCTCTGATCCTCCGCCTATCCTGCTTTTGCAAGCCATTCTATTAGTCGGATGTCATGTCACGCATCCAAAAGAAGAGCGGGATACTTTGAAGGACATTTTCTTCCGTCGCGCGAAGTGGCTCTTTGACAACCGCATTGAGCGAAACCGTGATACCTTGGTCCAAGCTGCGCTGCTCTTGACGTGGCATTCAGACAGCCCCGATGATGACGTTTCTGCCAATGCTCACTACTGGGTCGGTGTTGCTGCTCGAATCGCGACCGGCCTCGGCATGCATCGAAATCCAGTCTCGAGCAGGTTCGTTCCCCGGGACCGCCGGATGTGGAGAAGGCTATGGTACATACTGGTTCAGCTCGATGTTATGGTCTCCCTTTCGTATGGTCGACCTCAAGCTATGTAAGTGTGCTAGCACGGATCTGAGTCCCAATGCCTGCTCTAATCTCTCTGTGCGCCAGAAACCTCGAAGACTCCGATGTCTCGCCGTTGACAGCCTCTGATTTTGAAGGCTGCGGGGCCCGTGTCCAGACGGACTATGTCATTCATTTTTCAGAGCTTTGCACAATGATATCTTATATTGTGCGCGAGCGATTCGGACTACGAGTCAGTTCGGAGCGTCGCAAAGCCGCATTGCAGGAAGCAGATGAAGCTCTTGCGAACTGGTCTTTGAGGCTTCCAGACAATCTGCGGCTGCGTGCCTCGGATATGGATCCTTGGTCCGCCATGCTTCACTTGACCTACAACAATTTCCTCATCCTGCTCCACCGGCCTCATCCCAGGGCGTCGGCGTATTCGGACGACTACGGCCCGCATGATGCAGAGATTTGCAGCGCAGCGGCCGGTGTCATCGCATCTATCTTCGAAGAACTCCGCTTAAACGATCGCCTCAAGTACCTATGGTATTCCGGCGTCCATACCCTCTTCACGGCGATGATCCAAGTTCGTGTCGAGCTGCGATTCTCAAACCCTGTTTTAGCCATTAACGCCCTGCGCCGCTTCGATTCCGCCTCCTGCTCACTCCGCGAACTAGCCAAGTACTGGTCGCACGCCACCACTATTCTACGCCTCTTCGAAGATTCGAAACGACTGCAAAAGGATCTGCGCTTAGCAACAAGCGAAAGATCCAGACCCTTCAGCAGCACACACGACCAATCCCAGACCCAGACCCTGAACCAAAACAAGAACCAGCATCAAAACTCTTCAGCCGACGCGCCTGTACAACCCCCACAACCGGATCGGGCCCTCCCCTCCTACGACTCCCCCACCCCGGACTCCACGTCTCTACCACAACCCGCTGTCTCCCCGCACCAGAACCAAACCTTCGACAGCTGGATCCCATCCACGAACCTGGCAACTGTCGATCCGATGGATCAGCCAAGGGAATTTCTGGACTGGCGCCAGCTGTTCTCCTTCACGGATCCGGATCAGTCTGTACTACCGATGAGCATGGATGGGCTCCCGGAGCTGGAAGATGAATGGCGGCAGATCTACTGGCAGGAGACACCGATGTCAGATCTTTTCCAGGACGGAGGATGGATGCACGGCTAGCGCTGCTTGGATGGTCTCTTTCAGATGAGCATCTACCCGATGAACGATATTTCACGAATGATACCTGGGATTCTTATTTGATGTCCTCAATTTGCGTACAACGTATCTTTATATGGAAATAGTCTCTCCACAGTGGACTTCAACTCTGTCTTAAATCTACCAATGCGCAAAGGAAAAGCATGTTCGATAATTTCCTGAGCATGTCCAAAAAGTTAGCATCTCATCTGACGCAATCGAATCAAGACATTCACATAGGCGCCAATATCAAAATCCGGTCATTCTTCAAGGACAGCGAAGTCCCACCTCTTTCTTTCTATTAACTACTTGGCCGACCATATCACCCAAGAGATACTCATAAGTCACAAATCACCAACAAGTGGCATATATGGATACATATGATGATTCCGTATTTTCGCGACCAACTGCCCTCCCATAATCGAACGACGAAATCCGAGAGATGACTGTGCTGTAAGCATGAAAAGAAATGGTTTCCACACGACACATCTACTATGAAAGTATACAAACACCGTCGTTGGAGGGAACATAGAGCAAAAAATAAAACGGAGAGGCCGCGGATGAAAACAGCATAAGCACACCAATGATCAAAGGGGTAAAAATAAAGAATTAAAAAGCGCATCTGAACTGGTCCTGTTTACCTCTCTGTCGGTTACCTCATGAATAGCCCAATGTTTCGTACCATGTCATAAAATGTTGCGCAGAGAGCAACACCCAAAGAACGTTAGGAGCATCCCCACAAATAATTCGAGACTCTGTTCCAAGGCAGACTCGACCCCGAAACAAGGGTAGCACCGTCTCAGTTTTCGAGAGTATACTCTCATTCTGACAGCGCAGGATTTGGAGTGTGTGAGAGTCTTGCGCGGGGGACTCCGTCACACACGACGTATTTAGTACGATTCGCCTCCTGCTCCATTGTGAGGCTGGCCGACCATCGAAGGGTAGCCATAGGCTGAACTGTCCTGTTCGGAGGGGTCCAGACCAGGGTTCATGATATTGTTTGTGTTATCTGCCGTTTCAGGAAAGCCGCCGGAAGCCGATCCACCAGGTCGTCCACCTTGCGTGCTGGATCCGCCCACGGGCCCTCCAGCATTGTAGCCGCTGCTCGTTGGCCTATTCTGGTGTTCGCCACGGGCGGACTGAGTCTGGAGGAGTACTTAGCACATGATACTACAACCCACCAGACCACCAACCGTTGGTGGGGAGACAGGCCGCCTGAGCGTGTTGTACAAGTCTTACCTCGCGATACTTTGACAAGTAGATCTTGAGCGCTTCCGCGTAATTCTCGAAGCCAAGTGAAGTCATAGCGAACAGAATATCCTCCCCATTTACCGTCTTGCGTTTCTCTTGCTGGCACTTTTCAGAGGCTGTAGAGAACAAGGCGAAATCATACGTTAGTCGAATGGACAGGTACCAGCAGCCAGATGCAGTAACACTCACCTTCGCTGGTGATAAACGAGATAAACTCGCTGACACACTCTTGCATGCACTCCTTGGCTTCTTTGGCGATCTTCGCGTTCTCTGGCAAGGCCAACTTCATGATACGGGCCACTTGACGGTAGATGTTAGCACATGTAGCTGTTTACCCATCATGCCTCCAATTTGCGGAGGATAATTGCGTAAAAACTTTGAGCGGCGCAAAAAGAACGACATCGCACAATAGATATCTGACGAAAATTGTATCGCCGCAGATAAGAAAAGCGCTTCGCATGCAGAGCTACACTCGAACCGCAGGCGAATGAGGGTCTCCACAGTGCGATGATTGTTGGTTGAGGCAGGTTGGGGTATTGTAAATGGATGGACGCAGGGTACGGTAAAAGTGAAGTAGGGCAGACGGCTGTTGGCCAGCAGTTGGATGTAAGGTACGCGCAAATCAGGAGGACAAGGGAAGCTGCAAGGGAACGCAACTAACCATTCGCAATTGGGAGCCATCGATCTTGCTCCTTCACCTCGAATTCTCCCTGGTTCTGTGTTTGTTCCTGGTCCTTATCCATGTGTTCTTGGTCTTCGCCTGATTGCGCTTCCTGTTCCACCTCAGGCTCTTTCGAAGGAGAGGCCGACATGATTTTTAGCTATAGGTATACGCGCAGCGGATACTGGATAAGGTATGTGATAAGAAGTCGTCTATTTGCTCTGCTGGCAGACCACGTCAGAGATGCGTGCCTCGGGGGTATCGAACTAAGGCGCTATGATACACTCGCGTCAAAAGGCAAAATAGAGTTGTGTCTGGCTGGGCAGCGATTCGCTTCACGGCAGCCCGAACGTAGAGGCACAAGTGTCAGCAGTGCGGGGACAAGCAATTGTTTCTGCTATAGCTTCTGCCCTGACGGTATAATCAAGGCGCGAAATCTGTTATTCGAGGAAAGACGCGACAGGTAAGATAGTGACTCGATCAGCCAAATCTGATTTGTTGCCAGTCGCAAGGATAAGTTAGTCCAAAAATTCGGAACGATAAAAATGCTAATTTTATTCCCTGCCACCTTTCGCGTGTCGTGGACGGACGGTCCGCCTTACAGAACTGCAAAGAGGAGTGGTGCAGTGGTAACGTCAATCAGGTATGCGGGATGCTCCAACGCGGGAGATCTGGAAACCCGGAGAACACTCACAGTGACGCGGGTCTTCCGTGCGTAGCAACCAATGCAACAGTGGTGGGTCAAATTGATAGTGGCACGTTGCGCAGAGGCAGACGAACGATCCACGGGAATCGGGGGAAGAGACTAGATACCTTCGAACGAACGGGAGCTTCGATTTCGCTTGAATAGTCGTCGGCCAGTTGTATTTCGTCTGTTTCGTCCACTTAGAAGCTGAGCTTGTCCAGTAGATATTTCAGGATTTTGACTGGAGACGGATGCGATGCGCGCAGATGTCAATTGGCGAACCAGGAATGTGTGGGCAGACCAGGGGAACTCTCACTGGTCGCTGAACAACGCCAATGAGATTTGTGGGAATCAGAATATTGAAGACACTCTTTCAAACAGAGTTGAGCGAACTTTGATGAACTACTGAGTCACTTCGAACTGGTGGATTGATTCGCCTGATGACTCGAATGAGAGATGGACGGTTGACGAAGTGCAGGGACTCCAAGGAGGGAACCCATAGCTGGCCTCAGGCGTCCGTTTACAATGCGATAACCATAAATTACGGCAATGACCTCGTGATGCCGCGAGCTTTGTCGACCATACTCCACACTGTATGTATTATACGGAAATGCACGTGATTATTGGTATCTGTGGCATCGCAGCGTGACGGCGATGGCAATGATGGTCTAGAAAAGCTCTTGTTTGCTTGATCCAAAGAATGACTGGCATACTCTCATGATCCTCAGATGTGTAATGAATACTCTGATATCTGCTTTGGAGTGACAGCAGTGCGAGTACAACTCATTGGTGAGGCTGTGTTCTAAGCGCTCTGCATTTCAGGCACACACATGTTGCCTGTCAGCTGCCAAGGTCCAGCCTGAAGATTTTGACTTGAGCCAGGACTCATCACAAAGTCGTTCGGACGTCAGACCAGGAGGAGGTATCAGGCATCAATGACAGCATGATATCAGGAGCAATCGATGCATAGGACGATGAAGGTCGCAAGGTGTGGACTTTGCTCATGGACATGACAAAAGTACCGGGCACCATATCTTGAGAAATGTGTTGGACAATCAGGTTTTCATCTGGGACGAGGCTGCACATGAGCAGTCTGCATTACGTTCGAGGACTCGAGTTGGACGCATGTGTTTGTCAGCTTGGGTACCAGCAGCAGATAAACCATTTGCACTCGTGCTCCTCTGGGTACCACTGTCTCAAAGGCATGCAAGTTTTCTATCCGAGATTCTACTCATTCTTTCTAAATAATTGAATCAAAAGGTTTCTTGACGGGGCAAAGAGGCACAATTAGCTGAAGTTTGCACCTAGGGTTTGACTTGGAGTCCATTATGTCCACAACTAGTAGGTACGATGTGATTCCCTCCTCGTAACAGAACACCGAAGTAGTGTGATATTACGTCTTATCCCCGCTGAACCTGGTTTCCAGGCACAGGAGGATGCAGAGCTGTAGGAGCTCCGTCGTAATTGACAGATAGCGAACCGACGGCAAGCAATACATTCAACTCTTCCTTTGAGAGAATGATCAAGTATAAGCCCAGTCGATTCACAAGGTAGATGGCTCGGATACCCTCAATGCAGTCACCTCGAGACTCCCGTCAACGCCTTTTCGATTCCGATTCCCGCTCATGGTAGCGAAAGGAGATCATGGACACCAACACCGCTAGAAGGATTGAAGAGGAGTGGAGGGGTATTTCTGACTGCCATCGCAAGAAAAGAGGAAAGCGTGCTTTAATTCATGGTTGTACGACCTGGATGTTGTTGTTTTTCTATTGCGGCAAAAGAAGTCAATCATTAATACCATTAACATGATATCCTGGCATTGACAGACTAACCTTCCAATCGTCCAATTCAGACTGTTTGCTCTGATATTGCTTCACAAGTTCGTCGAGCACCTGTTTCAAACCATCTGAGTTTGTCTTAAGTGCAGGAAGCACATCCTTGACTGTTCGCTCGACCAAAACTCCGTTTACCATTCGGAAGCACTTGCGGTCTTCGGGGAGGGGTTCGAGTGTCTCAATGACAAGTCTAGTAAAGGTCAGTGCTGCTAGTAGTTTAAAATGGGAAGTAGAAAGTACTTATGCTCCTCTGCTTCCTGCTCGATGTCGCCAATCTTTTGCGCCATCTGTGTGAGTGTATTCTTGAAGTTCGTATATTGGAGCTGAAGCTCTGCTTCAGATTAGCCTTCGTGACTGCATGGAAATGAGATGAGAACTCATCGGCACACCCTGCTGCTTCTTGGGGTTTATTTGAGCTTGACTGGCCATTTTCTGATATCCGATGCTGTCACGCTGTTGTTGCAAAGCTCAAAATGCGATGCGGGGCGTGGTGCTCGAATTCCGCCGCGCGGAGAGAAGCGGACTAACAATCTTCTGAAGCTGCGTCTACGAAGGACGGTCAGGCTACAGTCTGAACAAAATTACAGTTTAGACTCACTATATTTTCCAATATCTAGTCTTGATCTCTAATTGAGCTTGCAGAAAGGTTGTTCTCATTGTATATCAATCCCATGACCTTCTGTAGCCCTCCATAGATCGAAACACGTGACATGGATGGGCAATTTGTTTGCACCGTTTGCCCCATCGGCGATAATACACTCCGCATTTTATCAGAACTTCTACACTTTGCCTAGCACCTGGCTCGAAGCAAGCGCCCGGTGGCCATTCCTGTGCCGCTCATTTTTGTGGTTAATTAAGATATTAATTCGACTCCGGTGGAAAGACTTGTTCGAGTTTCACGAGCTGTTATTTCACCATGGCGTCTGACGGAATGCCTCCAGCCAAAAGGCTGAAGAGCTCCAACCTTCCGCCACACCTGCGGGATGCGAAGCGCAAAGACATCGACAACTGGGAAACCAACCGGATGCTCACGTCTGGAGTCGCGCAACGGCGCGATTTTGAAGGCGACTTTCTGCCAGAAGATGAAGAAGGTACTCGAGTCCATTTACTCGTCCACGATCTGCGACCGCCGTTCCTGGACGGGCGTACGATTTTTACCAAGCAACTGGAGCCTATCTCAGCCGTCCGCGATCCGCAGAGCGATATGGCTGTGTTCAGCCGTAAAGGGAGCAAGGTAGTCCGAGAGCGGCGTCAGCAACGAGAGCGTCAAAAGCAAGCGCAGGAGGCAACAACAATGGCAGGCACGGCGCTGGGCAATATCATGGGTGTCAAGGAAGATGAAGGCGACAGCGCTGTTGCCATGCCTGTGGAGGATACTTATAGAAGTGGGAACAAGTTCGCCCAGCACTTGAAAAAGGATGAAGGCGGACAAAGCTCTTTCAGCAAGAGCAAGACGCTCCGCGAACAGAGGGAATATCTGCCTGCATTCGCCGTGCGAGAGGAATTATTACGAGTCATACGAGATAATCAAGTGATCGTGGTAGTTGGTGAGACGGGATCTGGGAAAACGACACAACTGACACAATTTCTTCACGAGGACGGATACTCAAAATACGGCATAATTGGCTGTACGCAACCTAGACGAGTGGCTGCTATGAGCGTTGCGAAACGTGTGAGTGAAGAGATGGAAGTGGATCTTGGCGCCGAAGTTGGTTATGCCATTCGATTTGAGGATTGCACCAGCAAGGATACAGTCATCAAATATATGACTGACGGTGTCCTTCTGCGAGAATCGCTGGTTCAGCCGGATCTGGACAAGTATTCTTGCATCATCATGGATGAAGCACACGAAAGAGCTTTGAATACCGATGTTCTGATGGGCCTTTTGAAGAAGGTATTGGCGCGTCGAAGGGATCTGAAGCTAATCGTCACCTCAGCTACCATGAATTCAGAACGCTTTTCTCGATTCTTTGGTGGTGCCCCGGAGTTTATCATCCCTGGACGAACGTTCCCGGTGGACCTCCACTTCTCCCGTACCCCGTGCGAGGACTACGTCGACAGTGCGGTCAAGCAGGTCTTGGCAATTCATGTCTCGCAGGGACCCGGGGACATACTTGTCTTCATGACAGGTCAGGAAGATATTGAAGTAACGTGCGAGTTGATCGACGAGCGGCTGAAGATGCTTAATGATCCGCCGAAGCTTAGCATATTACCGATATACAGTCAGATGCCAGCCGAGCAGCAGGCGAAGATTTTTGAACGGGCCCCTCCTGGCGTCCGGAAAGTCATCGTTGCCACGAACATCGCCGAAACAAGTTTGACTGTTGATGGGATCATGTTTGTGGTGGATTCAGGATATTCAAAGCTGAAAGTGTACAATCCACGCATGGGTATGGACACGCTTCAGATCACACCTATCTCTCAAGCCAATGCGAATCAACGTTCTGGCCGAGCAGGTCGAACAGGGCCTGGAAAGGCGTACCGTTTGTATACCGAGTCGGCCTACAAGAACGAACTATATATTCAAACGATACCGGAAATTCAGCGAACGAGTCTTTCAAACACTGTTTTGCTTCTCAAATCACTTGGAGTGAAGGACCTCTTGGATTTTGATTTCATGGACCCACCGCCACAGGAGACCATTTCGACATCACTTTTCGAGCTCTGGTCGTTGGGTGCGTTGGATAATCTGGGCGACCTAACTCCGCTAGGTCGTGCTATGACTCCGTTTCCCATGGACCCTCCGCTCGCTAAGCTGCTCATCACGGCGTCTGAGGAATACGGGTGCAGCGAGGAGATGCTGACGATTGTTTCCATGCTCTCGGTTCCTAGTGTCTTCTATCGTCCAAAAGAGCGACAGGAAGAGTCAGATGCGGCGCGCGAGAAATTTTTCGTTCCGGAGTCTGATCACTTGACTCTTCTTCACGTTTACACGCAATGGAAATCCAACGGTTACTCCGATGGATGGTGTATCAAACACTTCCTTCACCCCAAGGCTCTGCGACGGGCCAAGGAGGTCCGCGAACAACTCCATGATATTATGACAGTTCAGAAGATGCGACTAGTAAGCTGTGGGACAGACTGGGACGTGATCCGCAAGTGCATCTGCTCCGGCTTCTATCACCAAGCGGCCAAGGTTAAGGGTATCGGCGAGTTCATCAACCTCCGGACAAGCGTGAGCATGCAGCTCCACCCCACAAGCGCTCTGTATGGCCTAGGTTATGTGCCCGAATACGTGGTCTACCACGAATTGATCTTGACAAGCAAGGAGTATATGTCGACTGTGACTGCAGTGGACCCACACGTAAGTTGAACCAGCTTCATCTAAAACAGTGAAGCAGCAGAGGCTAATCTCGAGAATGTAGTGGCTCGCCGAACTTGGCGGTGTCTTCTACTCCGTCAAGGAGAAGGGCTATTCCCAGCGAGAACGTCGCGTCACCGAACAGGAATTTAATCGACGCATGGAGATCGAGACCCAAATGGCCGCCGACCGGGAGCGCGCCGCGGCCGAGAAGTTACGAGAGCAGGAGCGCAACGATCCCTCCAGACGCATGAAGGAAGTAGAGGCGGGATCTGTTGTGCGACGTCCTGCTGTTACCGGTACACGAAGAATTGGTGGTGTCACCGCATCTTCGACCACGAGAAACGGGACCAATGGAGCAGGAACCGTGGTCAAGAAGCCACAGATCAAAAGGAGACCCGGACGAGCATTTTAGCATCATGTTCAAGCATAGACATATACCCGATGTACAAATTTAGAAGAGTTCATTCAAGAGCGGGCTCTGGACTCTATCCAGAGATAGAATGCGATGCCATTCTGGTGCAGCTATTCGGTATCCAGCCATCAGTAGCACTTTTATCTCGACACTGCAGTATAAATGGCCAAGGCCAACAAAGTACAGTCTCATGATTTATCCCGGTGAAGCTCACAAAGTACCGCGGAGGCCCTGAAGAAGCGAAGACCACGGCCTCCTGTCTCGCAAGCCGGCAACATGAACTACCGGTATCGTTTCAACTCCACCGAATATCTCCCCACCTGTTAACAGCCCGCACTCAATTGATGAAATTGATACAGAAAAAGTGCAGAATCAAGCTCCCGAAGATGTAATCCGCAAACGCCCTACCAGCAGCAAACCAGTCAGTCAGCAATCCTCACCTCACATATTCCTAGCATCCAACCAACGAAAAAAAATCCAAAACAAAACTCACCTCTCATGAGACACCGCACCCTGCTCCTCCAAGCCTTCCACCGCCGCAAATCGCGCATTCTTCCCCTTCGAACTGGGCTTACTGTTCCCCCCCTTCTGCTCGCTACTCGTCTGCATGCGCAAACTAGCCGTAAGCACGAACTGGCCAACCGTGGCACAGAACCCGCTCAGGAAAGCATTGAAGGGCTATGGAACCATCACTCGTCAGCATCCCATCTCAATCTGTAATCCTGCTAAAGGAACGGGGAACAGGTCTCACGTAGTTTCCAGCCAAAACGCAATAGAGGAATTGCACAGCGCCGACAAACAACAAAAACACCATGAAGGCGTCAAGCATCATGGTGCGCTGCGGCGTTGTGGTGAGGTACTGCTGCCATACATGGTGGGCGATTTGGTATACGGAGGAATTAGAGGAGAGGACTGCTGGGCCGGAGGAGAGGGAGGAGGAGCTAGGGGTTTGTGTTCGTTTGGGAGGCATGCTGGTCAATTGTATCAGGGATGAATTGAGGGCGTTCAGGACGAGTTGGGAGAATGATGCAGCGTGACTTGGAGTGGAAGTTTCGCTGTCGAATCTCCGGTTGACAAAGTGCGGATGAAGCTACTGTGTACACAACCCGATAGAGGACATACTAAGGCCATACCTGTGCTCCACCCGCCGTTGATTACGTAGCCTGTTTAGCTTGTGTTCAATGTCACGTGACCATGGGGTATAATCAGGATACAGAGAGTATCATTGCAGAGTTACTCGGAGTGTGGATTGTATTAGAAAGGCAGATGTCTACATTGACATTTGTAAGAATATTATCACAATTCTGCCATATATGTATACACCTATACTATACACTATGCATTATAATATACACATTCAGACCGCTCAACGGTCAGGTACGTCGCGGGAAATTGAGTTCGCGTAAAGCTCCATATCCCTGGGACAGAGGGCGTGCTGTCAATTGCTTCGAGAACCGCACCTCTGAATGTAACAGAGTCCAAGATGTGGACCAGCCAAGTCATACGTCGTTCATCATGAAGAGTTGAGAGTTCATAGTAAGTCGTTAAGAGGAGAGAAAGTCCATGGCCGTAAGAGAGCTGAGATCTTCATATAAAAGGGCGCAGAGGAAAATGTTTTATCCATCAAGGAAAAGTCGAATGCGTCCCCAAGTAAGACTGTGTTGGCCTCCAGGGCCGAAGAGTAGAAAGCTGGGGCGAGATGATTATCGAGAT